CGAGCCCTTGGACTTCCCCGTCAATTCGCCCCCTGGCGCTGTGGAATTCACTTCTGTCGGACTCCCTGTGGAGACGTTCCCCGCGGAACGGCCCAGGATGGTCGTAGGTCGTTTGTCATGTAGACATGAACTCCCTAGCGATGGCCTCCCACCGGTGGCTTCATTCCATCAAGGTTCACATGCCACCAGGGTATACTGTTTCGTCAACAAGTCTTGGGCTAGCAAGCTTAGGAAGCATTCCGCACAACTTTTCTCTTGGAGTGGAGGGAAGTCATGGTGGCTACTACCAAGTGATTGTGCAAAGCATATCAATGTATTAGTGGAAGAAAATAGAGAACAGCATTTCCACATTGAGGTTTCAGCAAAAAACATTTCTACCTGTATCGCTGCTGAACACCACAGAAGATCCCCTGCCGACTCCTCAAGGTCATATGCGGCGAATACAAATCCAGCTCAGACGAAGCCGCGACTTGGCATAGGAAACCGACTGGGTGCCCAACATGAATTTCTTCTCCAGTTACCTAGGAGCAAGAAGCTACTAGGTGGAGGCCATCGCTATTAAGAGCAAGATGGTGAGCATGGAAAATCCCACATCAATGCTTGAGGGTAACCCCAGTCACCCAATCTTACTCCGCTTTGGTCTGTGTGCGCTAGCTTCACTTAGCTTGCTTCACCAGAATATGATCACATATCAATACCAATTTATCGCATGCAATCAGCATGTGATTCACGTGGAGGCCTATCCTGCCAATTGCCCTTGAATTCTGCCCCCACAATGATCTCCATGCGGTAGCTCCAACGGCACCAGTCCTCTCAATCGCTGTGAAGCTGGTGCCGTTCAAGACTGGGAACCGGCAACAAACCGTGCCGTTGTCTTGAAGCCTTTGATCGTCATGGTTGTTTTCGCGTCAAGTTCCAATGAGCTGTTTTTTACATTCCGGATGTGTTTGGGTTTGTTCAGCGTGAATGCTGCCATGCGAATGTGATCAAACATGCCCCATGGCAGAACCTTTGCCATAGCGGAAGCTTCCTTCTTCATCCATGGATGAAGATCAGAACCACCTTGTTTGGTTCAAAAGCACACCCCACGAACTCCCGGGTCACCCATTGTTCGTCCTCTTCGGGAGGCCAACCGAAATCAGCCTTGCTTGGTCCCGACTGCGGGGTGGGAGACCACCTGGTCTCACCGAGGCCAGTCGTACAGCTACGCTTATCACAGCTGGTGTCCTGACGCCGTGTTCGGTCGGTGTCGGGGTCTACCGGTCCATCCGGTGTCGCGCCTTTCGGTTCTCGCGTACTCCGACCCTTTGAACATGTTGGAACACAGGTTGTTAAAGAGGCACTGCCTCACATCTTTCTCCTGTCATGGAGCAGATGGTATACCCTTGTGCAAGCACCATCCCAAAGACAGGAGGTCATGATATAATTGGACAACAGGCTGTGGTCATCGGAGTACTGCGTTCTTCGATCGAATACCTGGCTCACGAGAGAGAGGGCCCGCAACATCCGGTGAAGCTCATGACAAGTTCAGTTCCTTTTGTTCTCCCCTGCCAGTTGAGAGCAGCTTCTCCTCTGGGTCTGGCCCAAGAACACCATGGTCGTGTGGCTATAAATGCAACAGTCATGTAGTGTCAAATTTAAGACATATATTGATACAGTATACTATACGTATTATATCCCGCTTTGTTATTCACATGTGACTCAGGCATCAAGAACATTCAGGAACTGTTGTTTTCAAACATTTTTTGTTTACCTGCCGTTCCCAAACAGCTGGAGGCTACAGGTACATATTTGCAGACGTTCCCACCAACATTTGAATTCAAGGAGTTGACGCTAAAAATATTATTGCTGACACTGCTTGGGGTCTATGCTGGCCTAATCACCTTTTTGGAACGAAGGCCTGCAACGTAACTATCATGATCCACGATTGCTGGTGGATAGACCCAGTCCCACATGCTCAATCTTCCAAACCTCAAGATGGACCAGCAAATGCACCGTGTTCTTCCTTGCTTTGCTGTGCGGGTGTCCATTTCTGCTCGTCTTGGGCCGTTTCACCGTAGCGCACTTGACGACCGACCCGCGCTGAGCCCCAAAAGGGCGAAGCACCGTGCGTTTCAACGAGTGAGGTCACACGAGTGAGGTCACCACTAGTAGCTTCTTGTTCCGTTCGTAGCGATGCCAGGAGCCCCGAACGTAGCGTCCTTGCTCATGTTGCATGTCATGCATTTGACAAACTTGTTGTGAGCAAGTTTGGTTGTCCAATGACATCAGGAGGAGGTTTAAATCTTTGTGGGACGTGTCCAACTATGTCAAAAGTCGTTGCATGAGAGAGTTGTTCAAAATGCAATCCAGGAAGGCAGTGCTGAGGAGAGCCTTCTGACAGGCATCTATCATATATATATTTTATACACAAGAGTCCCTGACAGCCTCTCGATGGAGAAATCACACTAGGGTGAGGCTCTTCCTTTATGGATCGGAACCCCCATATAGACAGAGAACATCATGACAACCAAGCGAGCCACCAAACCTGTGCTCGCATTACAAGGTCAAAGTTGTTTGTCCCTTCGGGCATCTCCCGAAGGCGGGAGGCCGGCCCAGCGCATCTCTGTCGCCGTCTCTGCAGCTACCTGGCGCCACTGGGGTCCATGAGGCGAGGGGGGGGGAGCGTGCTGCGGCTTGGGGTGATCTTGTTGGATCGCGTATTGGATCGCGTATTGGATCGCGTATTGGTAGGGATTGCCTGTGCTGGTGGTAATGGTGTGATGGATATGCATGTTGGGGAGGATATGCGGTCCCAGCCACAGAGGTGCCATGAACTGGGACTCCCCGCGTGCGCGCGTCGCGTGGCAGGTCTGGCAGGGGTGCTTCCGAGGCATGGGGGCCTGTGAGAGCTCTGACCTGTCGCCGCTTGGCGGCGGTTTGTGGGGCCGGTGGCTGCGGAGGGGAGCGGGCTGGGGTCGGGGGAGAAGTCAGGGAAGAAAGATGAGAAAGTGATGGCACTTGTTACTACTAGCTTCTTGTTACTACTAGTAAGGCACTTGTTACTAGAAGCGTGGCACTTGTTACTACTAGTAAGGCACTTGTT